GTGCATCTTTGTGTGTGTCAAACTGCACTAATTAGCTCATACAATTGGCTTTATAGAAATAGGAACATGTTAGAAAACTAGTCAAGTTTGCTGTTCTCCAGAAATGGTTGGTGGACATCAAACTACAGCCAAATGTGTAAACATGTTAAATAATACACTGTACCTTTTAACAATGCTGCGGCCCCTTTTGACCTCTATGGGTTCGAAATAATCCACTCCCATGCTGGTGAAAGGTTATTTGTCTGATGGCAGTCTATCTGAAGGCAAGTCTGCCATTTTTTGTCAAATGGCCTTTGCTCGGAATTTTCTGCATGTGACACACCTGGACAGGAGTTTTCTCAGGGCTGAGTTAAATGCAGGGACTGAAAATTTCTGCCATGTTGATGGTAATTCCTAAGTGACTCCTCAGTGAGACAGGTTGTTGCATTGAGTTTTGGCTGAGGCAGACAAAAAGCACCACTCCTATGGCTTCAATATTTTACCAGAGGATTTAGGACAACCTGATGAATATATTGTGTGAAATTTGTGAATGTAGTAATAAAAATGTAATATTAATAAAAAGGGAGCAGGTTGGAAACCAGGAGTGTTTGCTGGTATTTATGTGAGTGACATTGGATGAAAATGCACACATTTCAGTACATTTGACTTATTATGCATGAAGAGTGAAAATGATGGGAAAGAGAGCAGGTTCAATATAATTTTTTGCTAGGATTTTAAAGCTGCCCTCCACTCTGACTGTTAGTTCCCCCACTCTACCTATGAACATTCCGTCCAATACAAACCAATTGAAAAATCTCAGAAAGGTATTTACTTAGCTTCAAAATCGTTATTATTATTCTGCCTGGGTTTATTGAAACCTGTCTTATTCCACATTTTTCAACGTAGAAACTTCATTCAAACATCAAAACGTTATTACTCTATTAGGACATGCTCGCTATTACTTTGTTCCATACTTTCAAAAATATTCAGTGTTTTACGCAAACATTTTCCCATTCAAATTAACATGAACGAAATGTTCAAATTCATACATACATACAACTTCATGCATTTTCAACTGCAATCTACTCATTCATACATCTATGTACTCTATTTCAAGTTTGAAATGTTCCACATCTTCTCTATATTCCAGGTATAATTTGTCATTTAAATTCTATTAAAACATTTTAAAATATTCAAATCAATTAATTTATTTTTTATTTCCATCGTTATTGTTGGATTAGCAACTGACGGAAAATCATCATCAATCTGTCTTTGGGTGCAGATTTATGGTAATGTTTGTATTGTGTTCATTTCTGGATGCTCAGAACCATCCAGACATGAGGTAAAACTTTCAGTTTGCTGAGCTTTCGTTTAACTGTCATTGGCACAGCTGTTTCAGAGCTATAGTGACCATTTGCCCTGCTGCAAATTCCTAGGCCACTTAGCCTGCAAGAAGTCTAAGTCCGACTCGTGTTCCAAATAATTTAAACCTTTTTGTGAAGACCAAACGTACTAGAGAAGACAGGGGAAACTTGAACAAGGGTTTATTAGAGATCAATTATAATTGGTGTTTTCAATTAAAATTCAGCGAGGTCCAGTTCAAGTGAATTTCCTCATCAAAGGTCCGGAACATCACAATAATGTCTAATTTGCGCAATGATTTAGTCCCATATATATTGTAGTAGCCAACAGTTGTATTAACGTCTGTATGTATCAACAACTGACTCTCAAATACAATAAAGAAAGTTCAATTGAATAATATCTAAACAATATTAATTATTACAGATTTAAAATTGAACTGTATTAATTATATATTGCATACTCTAATTACAAATAAATCTTCTCTCATTTCAAGTACAATAAGGGCTGGATAAAAAACAATACATAACAGAAAGCTTGGTAACACTTTATAATAACTACACGCTATGAAGCATTAGATGCAAACAATGTACTCGTAAGTACATAAGTTACCTCTCAGGCATTCATTCATGTAACAAACAAAGACATTCTCCTTCAGGAGAACATGGCTTGATATAAAACATTTGTAAATGTACAACTGGAGCTAACCAGCAGCTTTGCATATTAGTTTACATTTACTTATTTAATTATTCATTTTAACCAAGCATATTGTAGCGTGAACGGATCCTGCCCCGGGGAAAGCGGGACAAGCTTGCGCACCTAACACGGTGGTCACTCTGTCGGCTGTCTGACCTGTGTGGGTTAGATTCCTCACGGAGGTGTCGGAACAATACCTTCGGCCTTTTATCTCACCCCGTAGCTGAATCGTTAGGATTTCAGAATTATTGTCTTCCTGAGAGTCTTGTATGGCTATGCCCTAGGCACTCTCAGAAGGATGTAACCCAAACACCCAGAATGAATAGTTATGTACATCGTCTATACTTTACTATTGCCTATTGTGAACATCTCACCATTTATGGAGAGACAGCGAGATCCTTCTTGTGGCACTCAGTGGCAGTCTGTGGCACTCTGGCACTCAGCGGCAGTCAGTCAGTGGCACTCAGCGGCACTTCAGCGGCAAGCGTCAGTCAGGTGCCACAACTGTGGCAGGCGAGCAGCACTAGTTCGGCACCCGTCAAGAAGCTGCAGAGCTGAGCGGGCTAAACGGATGATTTATTTTCCTCATTTTAGCCGATTGTTGTAAATGACTATAAAAGTAATAATTTGCAAAATACTTGAATAAAATGAATGAGAAACAAAAAAGTACAACGTGTTTACTCTAAGGATGTATACAGAGAACGGGTGGCTCTGGTGACTCAACTAAAATCATAAAACTGATATACAGAAGCTGACCTCGTAACAACAATGGGTGTTCTCAGGAAATGTCTCAGGAAATGTGTCTCCGCCCGCTCAGCTCGGCAGCTTCTTGATGGGTGCCGAACTAGTGCTGCTCGCCTGCCACAGTTGTGGCACCTGACTGATGCTTGCCGCTGAAGTGCCACTGACTGCCGCTGAGTGCCGCTGAGTGCCACAGAGGTGCTAGTGCCACAAGAAGGATCTCGGCCCTGCGAGCGAGCAGATTTAATCTGACAAGTACAAATCGGCATCATTACGTAGTTGTTTCGGAGTCCCTTTTTGTCGGTTTATTGCCATTAAATCACAGCCAAATCAGTTTATTTTGTGTACATACAGCTGTAGTAAACAGCGACCTGTGGCTTGCTAGACACAGTGAATACACTTCGATAAAATCCACAGAGCTCCTCTGGACAATGTTATGAACCCAGACATGACGGCGTTTAGTTTCCCGGGATATCTGGGACTTCCACAACACGTAGTAAGCAGAAATAGAGGTTATTTTTTCCATGGTTAATGGCGGACAGTTGAACGGCTTTCAGGGCGATAAGCCACGACCCCTCTCTGGCGCGTCCAGCGCGATTCACGCGAATGAACAAAAATAGTCCCTGCCGAGACCGGCGGCGCGAATGACGCGTATACACGGTGTGAACACGGCATAACCCGAGGGACAGCTTGTTGCAGCCTTTGAAGGGCAAGAGATCCGCAACTCCGACCGGTGGTCACAAGGCTACCGCGACATGCTCTAATATGTCTTGATCGTAGACACATCTTTGTTTAAGCTTATGCTACCATGGTAGCTAGCCTGCGTAGCGAGAAGATGAAAAAGGACTGATCTCAGGATGACACCGGAACTTATAGATGACGGGGGTCATCCGAGGTCACAGGTGACTTTGTTGATATAAATACTCGACCTGCGCATGCGCGAGACAGAAGATATCCAGTGTTAAACACTGCCTCTAGCGGTCAGTAAGGATGAAATAGACCTTTCACCTGCTCGCTCGCGAGTAGTTTTTCTTTTTGACACTAAGTGGGCGGATCCAGTCACCATTGTATAACTACATTTAATTGGTTACAACCCTCGTTTTTGGATTGGCCGGATATCACTCAGATATCAATCTTACATAACTGATAATTTGTATAAACATGGGACAGAGTTCATGATTTGTTAAAAATGTTTACAAAGGTTAGTTAGTACAAACGAGACATGATGTGAAGATATGACAGTTAATGATTTCATAAACATTTTTAGAAGTGATAATTTGTACAAAAATACAACAGGTGTGATTTTGAACAAAATACACAATCATTGTTAATAATTATTGTGAGGAATAATTAACATTGATAATCAGACAGTCTCTTCACATATATTATTATTATTATTAAAAGGTGATCTGTGCAACTTTGTTATTCAGGAAGTTTGTATCAAACAAGTAGCTCTTCGTACTACTCAGTAACCTTGAAGTAGCTCTCAGTTTCAAAAAGGTTGGTGACTATGAAATGACCATCTTCTAGATACAAGGGAGGTCCATGTTTGTCCGACAGAGGCGTTGTTTGCCCTAAGGCTGTGGCTGCATGGCCAAATCCCAATGTCCCCCCTAAACCCTCAAACCCTGAACCCTCAAGGACTTACTGACGTCACCTGGTGAGTGGTTGAGTGTGAGAGACTGTGAGGGCTTGAGATGGTATGAATAGGAATGGGACAGCACTTTGCTGCAACATATCATATTACCATGAAAACGACAAAAAATATGATGTATAATTGTGTGTATTTATTTTATACTTTGTACTCTCTGATTTTAATGTTTTCCAGGCTCTTTCCTCACAAGATGAGAGGTAACTTCAGATAATATATTTACTCGTTTTGTCAAAACAGCTTCAATGACAAAATGAAATATTTGATGAATAAATAAATAAATATCTTCTGATTTCATGTTTATTTTTTGTTCCATTTGTAACCCTTAATGTTTCTGAGTAAATTGAATATGACTGACTGAACACATGTGAGCCGTCCTCTTTGTTTACTTTTTTTTTAAGTCTCCATGTCTACTGGTTACCCTGTGTTTAACGTCAGATTGCAATGATTTGTGGGTAATTCCCTTAGGCTAAGTCAGCATACCATGCTGATTTACGGAAAGGGTTCATAAAGGGCTCAAAGTGTCTGCAAGAGAGCCCTCAAACACTTGACGATTTGACAGTGGGACAGCCCTAAACCCTCACGGACTTCGCGGGAGCGGGTCTCAAAGTCCGTAAGGGGGGACATTGGGATTTGGCCCATGTCTGTGCGTGTCAGCCGGAAGCCGGCCCTCCATGCTGCCGTGGCCGCCTCTGCTGAAAAAGAACTGCGCAGCACCACGGCAGAGGGGGCTCTCAACGGGGATGAAAACCGCAGAGCCTGGGCTACCTTATATAACTACCGGCACGTATTATCCTACTTTACCAACAAACATGACAGCGGCTATTAGTTCTCCTGTCTTCGAATACAGAGACGTGTCTAACAAGGTAAATGATGCCTATGCGGGGGCATCGACCGCCTGAGCAGCATTTCGTTATTTTCTGTAGAAACCATGCTAACCTTAGCCTAGCCACTTAGTTACTGGAAGTTTGATATTACGTTTGAGGGCAGTAACTCGCATCACTACTTGATTGCCGAATGGTTACAGTACTTGCATCCCTGAATTGTCAACGTTAAATGCCATTCGGCATCTGTAAATCAGTAATTTGTATTTATAAATAAGTTTGTGCGATGCAAAGTAGCATACGGTTCACGTAATTTGAGTGACGCACACAGACTGATTTTAGACGTTAGTCGGTGTTTATTGTTAATTTAACATAAAATAGCTGACGTTGAATGTGAAAGCCCAGTAATCTGTCTGTGTCTGTGTGTGAAATATGTTAAGGCTAGCTTTGTGTAACTTCACGTAACGTTAGGCATTTCATGTAAACAAGGTTTAAGGAAACTAGTCGCTTACTCGCAGCCACGATGCATAAGATGAATGAATAATTGACCAATGTTCGACACGACAGTCTTCAGGATAAAGAATGCTAACTAGCGTTAACTGAACTTTCTTTGCATCTGTCTAACGTTCTGCACTCTAAAGTTGAGTAGGTCCTGTTGTGTTACCGTTGTTATAGAGTGAAATAAGTCATTCAATTGCAACTCATAACTCATATTCATTTGTTTTATCAACATTACCTTTTTATCTTAATTGTAGTTTGAGAACCTTATGAGTACTTACTATCGTGCGTCAGACCCACGTGCGTTTACTAAACTGCTGATCTTCTCTATTGATATGTTTAACAGTCTTCAGAATCACAACACAGGGAAGTTAAGCTCCAGGTCGATCACATATGGAGCGCTTCTGCTTAGGAGCAGGCCAATTATTCACAGAACAGACGCAGTGTTAAAGTAATGGTAAATCACTGCTTTACAGAAGCTGACTTTGTGCTCCACATAATATAGAATTACAAAACATGCACCATACTTGCTGCCAGGGCGTGTTTCTCAACTGTGGGTTGGGTTTTGAAAGACTGATGTAGATATGTTATGATACATTTTAATATACAAAGTGATTTGTAAAATCTTAAAATACAAGACTCTTTACACAATCATCCGGAGCTCTCCCTGTGTTCTTAACAGAATTTATCAGATTCTTTCAACCAGGTTTTGTCACTTAGACTTTATTTCAGATTCTGCTTTTCAATTCTATTTTGTATGGAATTACGGTTCTGATTTAAGGAAAGAAATCAGAATATGGAAAAAGACATTTCATTTTCAGCAGATTTACAAAGCCATTAACAGTAATTTGTTATATGACTCAAAGGTGAACTAAAGACAGTGAAACACATTCTTTATAATGCCAGTTAAAGTTCACTGTTTTAACTTTAATTTGTGTTGGATGAATTTTTATCAGTACGACACACTTTAAGACACAAGCAGTGTGTAACTGCTGATGTAAAAAAAAAAAGCACATTAGGTCCAAACTTTGCTTTCAGTGAGTACAATTTAAAAAAATCATGTTTCCTCATAAATATCCTGTTTTTTTTAAAATCTGGAACCAGTTTAAAGTTTTCAGTTCCCAACCCTGCTTGTGATTGTTGGTCTTCTTAACGACACGTGTCTCTTTGCAGAACAGTAAAATGATTAACTCCAGCATCATCAACAGTCTTGATGGACCTCAGCTGACGTCTGTCCAATGCTCGAGTGCCAACCTCTCTTGCTGCATCCCCACTGGGTCAATGCTGGACAGGAAGTTGGTGGGGGCCCCCTCTGCAGCAGGGCCGTTTCAACGCCGTCACTCAATCAGCCTCGCCAGTGCAAAGTTCAGCCAGAGCCAGTTTGTCAACAACCTTCAAATGGATCCGTCAGTGTTGTTGGGTAGCAGCTGCATCAGCAACAAGGAGAACCATTTTCACGAGCGCTCCCTTTCAGAGCTGGGGGATAGGCTGTGGCCCGGCAGTCAGGCGTGTGTGGGTGGAAGCAGCCAAGTGAACTCAAGTCGCTATAAGACGGAGCTCTGCCGACCCTTTGAGGAGAACGGTACCTGTAAATACGGTGATAAGTGCCAGTTCGCCCACGGCATGCATGAGCTGCGCAGCCTGAGCCGTCACCCAAAGTACAAGACCGAGCTGTGTCACACCTTCCACACCATCGGGTTCTGTCCGTACGGCCCTCGATGCCACTTTATCCACAATGCAGAGGAGCGCCGCGGGCCCCCTCCCCTCTCCACCATCAACAAGATGGAGCGCCCTCGCCTGAAGCACAGCTTCAGCTTCGCTGGCTTCCCCAGCTCCAGTGGCCGGCTGGACAGCCCCACTTCCGTCACACCCCCACCCATGTTCTCCACTGAAGACTTGACCGAGTGGCAGAGCGAACCCTTTGCTCACTCCAACCAGGAGCTTGCCAGCCTGTTTGGCCCCAGCTTGGGGCCTCCACCTGTGTCTGAGCTTCAGGGCCTGACTCCACCTTCCCTGACCACCCCCTACCTTTTCCAGCCCACATCAGAGATCTCCCCCAGCCCCCTAGACTCTCTGTCTGACCAGGAGGGCTACCAGAGTAGCCTGGGCAGTCAGAGCGGCTCAGAGTCCCCACTCCTGGATGCCTCCCATCGCCTTCCCATCTTCAACAGGCTCTCTGTCTCTGATGACTGAGGTGTTTGCATCCCTGGGCCTGAGATGGGAGGAATGGAAAAAGACAGAGGAGGGTGGAGATCATTCACCTCTTTTGCCCCGTTTACAGGAGAAGCAGGCCGCTCTGTGCATTGTTGTAGCCAGTGAGTCTACTTGATCTAAATCCAGATCAAGTCTACTTCCGATATTGTGAACAGTTGGTAAACCAGAATCCTATTCATGTACAGGCCTGCACTGGTGCCATGGTGGAATGAATGTGAATGACTGTGTTCAGTAGTTTAATATGACTTATTTTGTGCTGTAGGAGTGGCAGCGGGGTCGCTGTACTGAGCAAAGTGAGTTTTAGTGTTGTGTGTCTTTACATTTATTATTATTATTATTATTATTATTATTATTATTATTATTATTATTATGATCACCTGTGCCACAATCCTGACACCCTTCTAGAGGCTTGTGTCAACTCAGTGTTACATTTTTAAAGGATCATCACCATAAAATGAACAAGAGAATGTCGGTAGACGGTAAGATTCTAAAAGTGCCTTGGAGTTTATTCATGTGAAGCCATAAGTGAGCCTAGACTTTCATTTTCACTCTAATCAAGTCCAGTCTCCTGTTCCTCTCACATGTCATAGTGACTGTTTTAGAGTGTGACTGATGGGTTGCTTTCCTCCAGTCGGGCTGGAATCCCGGTGCTTTGGTGAGCAAACATAGAACGATAACTGATATTACAGAGACCTTTTCTTTTATAACGGCCAATATCAGGGTTTTGAATCTTTGAATGTGATTCAAAATCTCTGAAGTTGCAGGTTGGGTGAAAGTCATTTCACCCAGGTTACCAGAAAACATATTCTCTCCCTTACTTTTATTGGGCATATTTATCCAGGTTTGGAGATATGCGTCTGTGAGATCTTGCCTCCATCCCAGTAAAATGGAGTTGGGTGGAATCTAGTTTGCTGTGCTCACAACATAAATGTATTCAACAGCAATATCTCGTCCAGATAGGTGTTTGTCTCTCTGCATCGTCCACAGAAAACGCTGGGGGCAGTTGTCATTCTGACTATTGCTTTTGTACCATTTTAGTTCCAATGACACCTGTGGCACAGCTTAACAGGGACATTGTTGGTCTTTAGATCATTTTAGTCAGCAGTCAAGCTTTGTCCAATCACCTAAAGATACATTTTCTGTCTGAAGTGACGTCAGCTAACTGAACTCAAACTGCTATTGATTCCACCATTTGTTGTTATTATTATTGTCTAGTTTATTTCCCAACGTCTTCTGTGTAAGGGCTGTCACTGCTTATTTATCAAAATGTATTTATTGCTGATCTTAAGCATTTTTATTTTGTATTTATCTGGTTAATGGAACGATAAAATATATATTTTCATTTGTGAAATTATGATCTTCCATATTAATTGCAAGGTTGTGAAGACCTATTTGTGTTATTTTTTTCACAGTCAATATATTATACTGCAATGACATATTTTGTATCATTTGATTTATTTTGAAAGTGAATCTTTATTTAAAACACAGGTTAAATTATTTATTGTTGAGTCCTCCCAGTGAGTGTGGACACAGTATGGATGCTCACTTGTGGCTCTCTATCTTTTCACACAGCATCTTTATTTGCCATAGCAGCTTGTGTCTCTAAAGCATAAAATTCACGGTGAATGTATGTGAATGCCCATATTTAGTGGCTATTGAATTCTAAGGCCTAACATGCACTAAAATGTTTGGAGAAAATAATTTAGTATTCTTCAGACACGGATGCATGGAACAATACATTAAGTGGTTTAAGACCATACTTTAAATTTCATTGTTCTCAAAGTGTGTTACAACCTTAACATCTTGTAACCTTGAACCCTGTTTACATCTCCCACCTGTATCTGACAAAATGTCACCAGAGCGTCACTGTGTTCAGGCCTCTCGTCCCTGCGGCAGTTCTGGGCAGCATCTTTCATTCTCTGGAATGTAAACTGGCTCTGGAACAGTATTGTCCTCATATTGGTGTCTTTTACTGGGATGAATTGTCATTTGTCACTGAATCAGTTTAACTCTGTGACTAAAGCATTGTAAGCTCTTATTTTGAAAAGATGATGAAAGCACACCTGTTTCACAGTATCTTGCACAGACTTGATAGCACTTTAAGTCAACACAACGATTATGTAAAGGTTATCTTTGACCACTTTAGCCCATGAAAGTGCCTTTAAATACATTCCAGGTTTCACAAATGTTGTGCCTTCATATTTTTCTATAACCGAGCAGATAAAAGCCTAAAACGTGTCTCTCTAGCGGTTCACAGGATTTACACATGAAAAGCACCTGTTGAATGTGTTCACCAGCAGCTGTCACTGTTGCGTCAGTAATAACTTTGTTCATGGTTTGTTTTGAAATGACAGATTGCAGTTAAAACAAATAAAACATTTATTTATATTGAATGTGTGAGTTCCTGTGTGATTGTGTGTAAAGGGCAGACCTTCAGTAGTTTACTGAGCTCGACACCTCTGAAGTTAGAGGTGAGGACCATTTACATATCATGTGACATTATCTTTCAAAGCATCCTGTAGTCGTGCATGTTTCCAAACCTTTTGGGCTTGTGACTCATTTACAGCCGGCATGTGTATCCTACTTCCATTTTAAATGTCACACAAAAGCTATGCATTTTGGGGCAGTGTAGGAATGAGCCACATCTGAAGTAGAGGCTGAGAGTAGAGAGATATGAGCTTCAGGTATTGCCATTGAGAGGCAATCAAAATGCTCCCAATCTAGTGTTATTTCCATTGAATCTCAGTTTATGCATGTAAGGGCAAGATTTGTGACATCACAACCAGTATGGAGGTTGTTATTTGTCCAATAAGCAACATACAAAAGTGTGATGTGGAAACTCCAGTTTTTAGTGCACCAACACTGGGAATAGATTTTTCTTTGAAGTAGATACAATCATTTTTAACTAGTTATTTAAACTTTTTTTGTGGTAAAACTATGAGAAGCATATTATTATTGAAAGCACGGTATTTATTAGGGGTGTAATGAATGAGAAAGTAGAAGCAGAGTTGCAGTCTTAAATACTTCTCTGTGCTTCCATTTGAGCAGTTACACCCCCCCCAAAACCATATAGATCAGGGGTCACCAACCTTTTTTAAACTGAGAGCTACTTCAAAGGTACCGAGTAGTACGAAGGGCTACTTATTTGATACAAACTTCCTGAATAACAAAATTGCACAGATCACCTTAATAATATATGTGGAGACTGTTTGATCACGTCAGTTAATTATTCCTCACAATAATTATTAATGATTTCCACAACAATGATGGTATAGCTACACATACATATTTAAACATGCAACTTTTATTTCTGTTAATCTGTTTCAACATTTGAAAGTCAGAGGTATCACATCTCTAATATTTTTGTATCATCACACGATTAAAGCCGGTTACTTTTGCACATAGCGCCTGCTGGTGAATGATCCAGTGGTAATGTAGACATTTTGCGAAGTCTGGGTCACCTTTGCATTGCGCAATAAACCTGCATGCCGGCCCGTCATCGCGGGAGCCCCGTCTGTTGTCACCGACACCAGCTTTTCCAATGGTACCTTTTTCTCCACGAAGAAACTAGTAAAAAGTCTCGTCTATAGCCGAGCGGGGGATCCAAACCTCCGAGGCGCGCGAGCGTCTTCTGGGGCCCGCGTTCAAACCTCTAGTCTGGGCCTTTTCGGTCGGATTGCGGTGCCTCGCCTCTACCCCTGGCTCGTCCTGGCTGTCCGCCGTGCGCCTCCGGGTACCCAACTCTCTTAACTCTCTGCAAGCGTTTTTGATTAAAAAAGAACAGCAACTACAATTTTAGACGGAGCTCCATAATGACTAGTGCTATTTTTAGAACATGTCTTGCGGGCGACTCACGTGGTCCCTGCGGGCGACAGGGTGCCCGCGGGCACCGTGTTGGCTACCTCTGGTTTATACTGACTCTTGCTACACCTTTAGTGCACAACTTAGGCGCCCTGTGAAAACACAGAGGCTTTTTGACATCATACGGCAAGCTCATTTCTCACCACTGTCTCGTGGCCGACTTGCTAGAAGCCAGACTGCTCCCTAAAACTGTATGTGTTATAAAATGTGATGCTCATACTAACGCTTTTGATCCCATTTCAACAGGAAATGCTGCAGCTGATGTTGTGACTATGTAGGCGATTTTTCTTTTAGGTTCGGTGTGTCTACGGAAATATTTCTCACTTATGATATTCAATTAATATAAAATTATGTATGGCTTAGCTTAGACAGATTGCTATGTGATCTCTTCCATTGTTATGCTACAGTAGTTTACAGCAGAGATAGCGTGGCAAAGGGGGGATATGTAATTTAGTTGTAGATAGATCCACATTTAGAATGTTTTAGAATATGCTATCCACATTTCTATTGGTATTTAGTAACGTCATGATAAACCACAACTTTTTAATTAAAATACGGCAAATTCCAAGTCTTCTAACTCAGTGATAGGACTTTAGGTATATAGAAAATAGGATAGGAAGGAGATTAAATCTTATACTTTTACTTTGGTAACTGTACCATGCAGGTTATAATCCCTTTCTTCAACTGGTTATCAAAATCTTAATGTATCACCAAATTTAAGAAGAACAGAACTTGATGGATGCAGTGATGACAATAGCGTTGTGAGAGATCGTTGTGTTGTAGTGAGGAGTGAATGCTAGTTGAGCCGAAGCCATACAGGCCTACTTTGGTTCTTAACCCTAGATAACTAGAAAAGAAAAAGGGAGAAATCAGAAAGAATTAGAAGAAATAAAGGTGAAACATTTGGGAATGATAAAAAGTCATAGAATGAGTCTGAGCAGCCCGATGCCAAGGTCTTACCTCCGATAATAAATAAATGTGGGACAAGGATAATCAGACTGCCAAATAATTGGAAGAATGGACAAAATTGGGATTCCCTGAAAAAGGCAGTTTTAGCCTACGACAAAAATTTGATCAACTCAAAACGTGCTTGGAGCAGAGAAAAAGGTGAAGCAGATAAACATGAAATGATGTCCAAGAGGGAAAGAAAGAAATGTAACCATTTAAATTGGACTGGAAAGCGTATGTGGAGAGACAGGGATACATTCTGCTGGAGCACCAGAGAAAGGGGGGTCACACACACACACACACACACACACACACACACACACAAACACAGACATCTTAGAATTGGATTTTAATTTTTTTAAATTGTATCTCTACATGAGACAACGTTTTACCGATTAGCGAAGATGTATTCTAACATTTACTGCTGAACTTTGGGTAGTTTTTGTTTTGTTTGTTTTTAGTCCTGGATCCTGATCTGGGGATTCCGCTTCGCTGCCGTATGCTCCCCAGTCACAAACAACTTGAATGACACCCACCACTCAACATGCCGAGGATGAAGAAGACGAACAAGACTCATCAAAATCTACAGGTACCATGTCAACGCTCACAACTACAGAAAATATCTGCGGCATTCAAACCTGCAGTGTGCCCGCGGGCACCGTGTTGGCTACCTCTGATATAGAGACTGTGTCTGCCCCACGGCCACTTAAATTAATTAAATCAAAAGTAAACAGTCGAGGAGTTAAACAAAATAACCTAATCCAAGTTAACACCAACGCAACTGTTGGGGATTCGACCCCTGAGTTGCTGATTTAAAGATGATTATTGACCACTACAGGGTTCCGGTCAGAGAACACGCAGACATCTGTTTGATCCATACGTTTCTGTATTCAGTCTTATAGTTTGTTGACCGATTTACAGATGATGAATGAGTTTGAACAATAGATGACCAAGTTTCTGAAATAAACACAGAAAACGAATTATAGAACTGAAATACTAGCAATAGTAAACTCTTAAAGCAAACACACATACTGTACATTCACAGAATACAGGCTTGCTAGCCAGCTTAGCCACTTAGCTCAACTTTGGGCTATTATTTCGACGGCTAATTACATGACAAACACTGACAGTAAATGCACTTAAAAACATTAAGTACAACAACAAACGGAACAGTTACGCCACATAGCTTCAGATTTACACTTCTAT